CAAACCACTAACAAAATATTCACTCAACCCATTTACAATGCTACCGAAGTAGCATTGCTGTTAACAATTGTTACATGAAAACCCGGTGAATGACAAAACAATAATTTTATGAGAAATAAATGTTTGAGACCAATGTTTGCAAAAGTCTTTAAGGATTATTTTAAGCAACAAACAAGAGGCTCTGATTAAAATGTCAGAAACAAAGAGTGATGAATTGTGGGAAATCACTAGGGCAGAAAACCACAAGTAAAATGAAACCTGTAAATACAGCCTCAGTCACACACCCTCTTCAACATATGAAGAAGGTAGTCTTCATTAGGCAATATAAACTATGTTTTTTTTTTTTTTTAACAAGTTGGCCGTCTCCCACCGAGGCAGGGTGACCCAAAAAGAAAGAAAATCCCCAAAAAGAAAATACTTTCATCAACATTCAACACTTTCGCCTCACTCACACATAATCACTGTTTTTATAGAGGTGCGCAGAATACAACAGTTTAGAAGTATATACATATAAAAATACACAATACAGTGACCCCCTTAAACTTTTTTATTCCAGTAGTCTGTTCAGAGTGCAGTATGACGATTTCTTCCCATTAAGGAATATGTAACGTGTTATCCATTCAACCTAACTACACGTACAATCGCACTTCACTAAATATTACCTTACATAATAGTCGATGAGGATGTAAGCGGGTCCCAGTATATCCATTAACTGCCATATCTCAACCTCCTTATGATCAGGCTTGTACTTCCATTCCAAGACTAAGTCCGGTATTAAAACGGTTTCCCTGATCCCTTCACTAAAATCCCTGTCACCACTCACAGATTGCAGGTCCAATCCTTCTCTCGATTCACTCCTATCGACAGCGCACCTGCTGAGTCAAGCCCTGCACAAACTCCCTTACACGCTTCTTCCAACCTTTTCGAGGACGACCCTACCACCCTTCCTTCCCCTACAGATTTATCCTCTCCATGTCTCTACTTTGATCCATTCCCTCTAAATGACCAAACCACCTCAACAACCCCTCTTCAGCCCTCTAATACTTTTATTAACTCCACACCTTCCCCTAATTTCCACACTCCGAATTTTCTGCATAATATTTACACCACACATTGCCCTTAGACAGGACATCTCCACTGCCTCCAACCGCCTCCTCGCTGCTGCATTCACAACCCAAGCTTCACACCCATATAAGAGTGTTGGTACTACTATACTTTCATACATTCCCTTCTTTGCATCCATAGATAACGTTTTTTTTCTCCACATATACCTCAATGCACCACTCACCTTTTTCCCTTCATCAATTCTATGATTAACCTCATCCCTCATAAATCCATCCGCCGACACGTCAACTCCCAAGTATCTGAAAACATTCACTTCTTCCATACTCCTCCTCCCCAATTTAATATCCAATTTTTCCTTATCTAAATCATTTGATACCCTCATCACCTTACTCTTTTCTATGTTCACTTTCAACTTCCTACCTTTACACACACTCCCAAACTCATCCACTAACCTTCGCAATTTTTCTTTACAATTTCCCATAAGCACAGTATCATCAGCAAAAAGCAACTGTGTCACGTTCCATTTTGTATTTAATTCCTCATAATTTAATCCCACCTCTCTCCTTAACACCCTAGCACTTACTTCTTTTACAACCTCATCTGTAAACACATTAAACAACCATGGTGACATTACACATCCCTATCTAAGACCTACTTTTACTGGGAAGTAGTCTCCCTCTCTTCTACATACCCTAACCTGAGCCTCACTATCCTCATAAAAGCTCTTTACAGCATTTAGTAACTTACCACCTATTCCATATACTTGCAACATCTGCCACATTGCTCCTCTATCCACTCTATCATATGCCTTTTCTTCTAAATCCATAAATGCAATAAAAACTTCCCTACCTTTATCTAAATACTGTTCACATATATGCTTCAATGTAAACACTTGATCTACACATCCCCTACCCACTCTGAAACCTCCTTGCTCATCCGCAATCCTACATTCTGTCTTACCTCTAATTCTTTCAATTATAACCCTACTGTACACTTTTCCTGGTATACTCAGTAAACTTATTCCTCTATAATTTTTACAATCTCTTTTGTCCCCCTTCCCTATGTATCATATAGAAATAAACCTGAATTTGAATCTCTCTAAAATGGAAGACTATGTAGGAGACTATGTTCATGGGTGCACTAAATCTTTTATGTAGGAAGGGTCTGGGATATTGGCAGTTTGGAGGGATATGTTATGTATCTTTATACATATATGCTTCTAAACTGTTGTAGTCTGAGCACCTCTGCAAAAACAGTGATTATGTGTGAGGTGGAAGTGTTGAATGATGATGAAAGTATTTTCTTTTTGGGGATTTTCTTTCTTTTTTGGGTCACCCTGGCTCGGTGGGAGATGGCCCACTTGTTGAAAAAAAAAAAAAAAACGTTGTGTTAGATTACTTTGTGGCTCCTCAAGGCTTATGATGTACTGTTGTCTTTTTGGATTTCTAATTAATTATATTTCTTATTTTAACTTGGTTGTCAGTATATATTTATGCTGTCTTTTGTAATAAAAACATGATGATAATTCCTTAACTATTTTTTTCAACACATTGGCCGTTTCCCACCGAGGCAGGATGACCTAAAAAGAAACGCTTTCACAATCATTTACACAATTTTTGTGTATTTTAAATATCTGTTGTGCCTCTATAAACATGTACATCCTGAAGTCTACCCATCAACCTTTTATCCACCAATACATAATCCAACAAACTACTTTCATTAACACGCTATATCATATCTTGTATACTTATTTATCCTCTTTTTCTTAAAATACGTATTACTATTACCAAACCTCTTTCTATACATAGTTCAATTAAAGATCTCCCATTATCATTTACCTCAAGTCCTCCAAACTTACCTACCATGCCCTCTACAACTGTTTCTCCCACTTTAGCATCCCTGTCTCCTACCACAATATTCTCTCACTTGGCTCAAATTTCTCTAAGCACTCATTTAACATCTTTCCAAAATCTTTCTCTCTCTACACTTCTCTATTCTCAAGGTCCATAAACACATCCGACCCTTATTTTACTCCATATAACCCCCTTTTTCCTGCCATAACTGATCCTTCAACATTATTGCTACTCCTTTTTCTCTAACTCTATTAGAAACCCCTGATCTAATCTCATTTATTTCTCCCACTGAAACTCTCCTAACCCCTTCAGCTTTGTTCCACTTAGAGCCAGAACATCCAGCTTCTTTTCATTCATACATCAACAATCATCTCTTTCTTATCATCCACACTATCCACACACATTCAAGCATCCTAACTTTAAGGTTTTCTACTTTTTATTTTTAGTAAGCTATACAGGAGAAGGGGTTACTAGCCCACTGCTCCCAGCATTTTAGTTCACTTTTACAACAACATGCATGGCTTACAGAAGAAAGATTCTTATTCCACTTCCCCATGGAGATGAAAGGAAATAATGAGAACAAAAACTATTAAGAAAAAATCAAAGAATACTCAGATGAGTGTGTACACATAAATGTGTACATGCATGTGTAGTATAACCTAAGTGTAAGTAAAGGTAACAAGATATAGCTGTTATCTTGTGGTTTATGAGACAGAAAAAAGACACCAGCAATCTTACTATAATGCAAAATAAAATACATGTTTCCATCTTACACTCATTTGGCAGAACAGTAGTATGTATTTATTTTCCAATATGAAGAATGACCACCACCTTTCTTTCTAAACATACAGATTTCTTTCTACCTGTGTTTTTCTGTACAAGTGATTTCTTATTATTCAACAAACAAGAAATTTAACAGGGAAACTTGACAATTTTTTTTTTTTTTTTTTTTTTGCATTGGCCATTTTTCATCAAGGTAGGATAAACCAAAGAAAAGAATACATTCACCCAAACTCTATCAACAGCCATCTTGCCAGAAGTGTGAGGACATGACAAACTGAATGACCATCTGAACCTCATCATCTATCCTTAAGAGTGCAGGCAATGTACCTCCCACCCACAGAACTCAAATTCAGATAAAGATCTTCAGTTTTACATTTCATGAAAGGAAAGGGAGCAAAGAAATAGTGTTTTATGCAAACTTAAATCAATTACAATAATTCCAATGAGTTACAAAAGTTGCCTACATTACCAAAATTAACAAACATGTCCAGATTAATTTTATTTACTTGCTCCCATTGAACATAGTTACATTTCTATATTAAATATTACTTTCTGGTAACGCAGTTATTTTTGGACAGAAGGAAAAAAAAAAAAAAACTGAAAAATTAAAAAGTTGAGGCATCATTTTAATAATTTTTTTTTTATAGATACTGTAGTTACTACCCATAAAGATAATACAGTGCCATATGTCAGAAGGTAGAGAGATGGAAGGGGGGATAAACAAGTAAGGCAGAGGTGCTGAGGGAAGAATATCCGCTGTGCAAATAATGATTACAATTCATGAAGTAAACCAGTATCAGTTACAAAACAAATGAGTGTCTCCAGCAAAGGTGTGACTGTCAGAGAGGAGAGCAGACAAAGTAACCATGTCAGGGTGTTGGAGATGTCAGAAATGAAGTTGGTGTCCTCTTCAATGAATGCGGCAATCAATCAAAAGATATCTTGTGGAACGAGTACTGTATTATAATATTTGTGGAGAAGCTCTAACCTGGTGAGGGTCAAATGACACCTGAGGAATAGGAAGTAATCAAGTCTGATCCAAGGAAGGTGAGGGGTAACTCCAATTCTTGGATAAAGACCTCTTCACCAGTGTCAAGGTACCCCCCTTACCTTCTGAAGGGTTGTGAAAGGATATACTGACCAAAAGCAGCCTGCTAGGACATAATACTGAAAGATGAATGAACATATTACAATGATATACAGCACTTTAAATGTTTCCAAATAGTAATTCCCAGCAAGTGTAAATTAGTCAAAAACTTCCATATTATATATAAGAGATAAAGGAATAAAAACACACACCTGAAGCAAAATGTCAACAACTCGCTGTCTCTGTTGCATTCCAAGCTCAGAGGTGAATTCTGCTTCCTCAAATGCTAAAGCCAGTACATTAAGGAATTCTCTTGTGTCAAATCTAAGTAAAGTTCTCAGGAATGGATACGAATTTTCAGTGGGTTTAGCATTTTTTGAATGCAGAGATGTAATACATTTAAAAATTTCATGTTTCACTTGCTGTAATTCTTGAGGATCAATATCACCATGTGGATATGCTCGTCCAGCCAAACAACAAGACACATACACTAGTATTTTATTCCCTAGCATCACTTGGCTGTGTGTCAATGCATTTCCACTATCCAAAGCATTACATAGCACTGTTGTAAGCTCCTCGAGGGGAGTAACAAAATCCCTCATGCCATGGGTATAAATATAAAATATTGCATCGTATAACCCATGGGTCCAGCAGAGAGTCATGGCCTGATGAAGGTCGAGGGAAGTTACATGGAGGTGGACGATGCATGCCTCTGCTGCCTCAAGTCTCCCACACACCTCTTGGTGGGTAAGCAGACACTGGGTTATACTGGGTGACATATCACATAATTGGTCACTCAATATGTAAGGCTCAAGTGCTTCCAAGTAAATACCTGTAGAGCAAAAATAATACATTATTAACATAATATAAGCAAATAGCAATCAATAGACATCTACATCTCAACAACTTAGACCAATTCCATTTACAGACACAACTTTTGTCATTCTTCACTCAAATCCAAATTCTCCCAATAAAACAGTCAATGAGGAGCTCATAAAGATATCTACCTGGATGACTACCAATGAACTCTTTCTTAACACTGATAAGACCTTCTACATGATGTCTGGGATCAAGAGCTACAAATATCCACTAAATGTTATGATTAATAGTTTTCCCACTGCAAAAATGACTGCAACAACAACTTGAAATTCAACACCTACATTCAGCACATAAAAAGGGCAACCACATCAGTTGGCATCCTCTCCAAGATACATTACTATAGTGCCCATTGTCTACAATTCCTGAATTATGAAATTAATATTTCATCATTGTCTGGTTTCCTTCTGAAGTAGTGAATTTGGTCCACTGATGCATAAAACACTAATACAGGTATTGCAACCTGTTGCACTACAGTACAGTAATTTTACAGTACTCTATGCAATTTACAATAATTTTACTTGCCTTTTCGTGGAGAGACGAGGTATAACTGCTGTGATCGATAATGGTGACTCAAAATAAATTTTATTCTAAGTCAGAAGAGATGTTAAGCCCTAGAAGTGAAAATAATGTAGATGACTGAGATGTAGAGGGCTGAGAATACATACATGGATGAGAAGACTTAGATTTTACATACCCATGCCAATGACACACCAGACTGAACCTTCTTTATTAAATCAAATTTCTTAACACTGAGAGCTATATGTCTTCTTCTGGCACCACCACTTGCTTTAGAAGCCATTAATAATTGTACTTAATATGTTAATACAGTCACACAAAATGCTTTAAATCCAGGGAAAAATTAGAGACTGAATGAAGAGTATATACATGAGTGAGCACAAACAATAAACTGGTGATGATGGCCAATGGATCAGGAACAATGGAAATGGGTAGGTCCTGGACGTGGCCATTTAGGCCCATACCAAACATTGAAGTTAGCAGACTTGGCTTGATACTTCAGAAGACAACCAGACACTATCAAAAGGGACAAAATGTGGATTTGCAGACTTACGTCCACTTTGTCCAATAATTAGAGCATTTGTCCAGCCAATTTTTGTCCAAAATTGCCAAAATCCACTAATGAGAGGTTTACTGTATTATAATTTTTGTATCAATTCAGGATATGTAATGTATCGCTCTAATTTGGTTAATACTGACATTCAATAGAAATAATGGCCAGAATATGAAGAGGTTTGGACATAAGAAAGACACTGAGCCAGAAAAATACTGGCTATAGTAATTTAATTTAGTCACATCAGTTAAAATGTTGGATAATCAAAATCCACGAATACGGAAGCGGTAAATTTGTAGAGGGATAACTGTCTGACGAAATAGATAATAGCGTATTTACAACTACATGAAATTAAAAAAAGGAGTATGATTAATTACTGTAATTAAACAGTACAAGTGCATCTTTGTTGTCTGGAGTGACATCTGAGCTGTCATATCTCTGCATATGCAATTCACTCACTGTGAATGACAGTGAGTGTTTCTCTTGTTTGGGTCACCCTGCCTCGGTCAGACAGCCAGTGTTAAAAAAAAAAGTACACCTTGATAATAGCTCTACACCTTTGAATGCAAATAGGTAATGACAAAAAGGTAATTATCAATGCATGCCCTACCTAGCAAATTCTTTAATTTCACTACAAAATTACAAACCACTGGTTCCAATTCACTTACAACTAGCTTTATCTAAACTCATAACCTAGGGAACTCATATTTTCTCTCTCCAAACATCAATCATGCTCATCATACCTAAACAAAACACAATATAAATAAATACAACATGCCCAACCTTTTGAAATTCCATCTTCACTAAAGGTCTCCCAAATTCGTCCGAAAAGAACATCCTTCAAATTTGCCCCCACTGCCACCTGTACACACAGCGGAACCAGCTGGGTGTAATGCTGATTAAGTGCTGACAAGTTGCTTCGATCTGGTAGCTCGCTAATGGCAGAGTCTAGATATTGGATCAATAACTCAGAAATCTTCTCTTGTACTAGCTGTAAATCAATTATAACATTACACACATAAAAATTCATAGAATAAAAATAATTTAACTAAAGTAGAATATTTGAAAGATTGCGGGATTCTGATTCAATCTCTTCTAACAGAAATTCAGGACCTGATTCAAACCAAGTTTAAAGAAAAATACCTGCTGCCTCTTTTCCTTCTTATGTTTGAGTCCTACAATTGCTTGGGCTTTGTCCTGATAGATATCAAGGGCAAGCTGAAGGGCCTCCCGCATATGACCTCCTCTCACCAAGTAGTCCAACCGATCTACCCAGGATCGCACTGTCACCACCTGCAAAATGTTGCTAATTAGGTATCCATAAAGGGGTGCCCTGAAGTTTTTTTTTTTTTAAAACATTAGCCATTTCCCACCAAGGCAGGGTGACCCGAAAAAGAAGAAACACTTTCATCATCACTCACTCCATCGTTCTCTTGTCAGAGGCGTACTGACACTGCAATTCAAAAACTGCAACACATCTCCACTCCTCCTTCAGAGTGCAGGCACTGTCTGAATTTTTTTCTTCCTCCAAAGTTTTACTTTATAACTTGAGAGTACCTCATTTTTACAATGTCAATTTTTCAATGATGGTGTACTGTACTGAAGACCTAGTAAAAGCTTCATGCAACTATTAGATTATGCAAGTGCCCTCTGCTCAGTTTTAAATAAGGTAGACCAATCCCAGTTTTGGGTTCATTATGATAACTTGAAGAATCCTTTTCTAACTGGCTTCACCCTTGCAACATTAGTCTAGTGTATCCTGCTTAGGAAGAGACTGGGACTGTTATTGTGATGTGAAGGTGCCAATTTTATATTTAAAATGGTTTGATATTTTCTTATGAAATAACTTGTGTGACTTTATGAATGACTTCAATCTTAAATGGCTGATGAATCTTAAGAAAAGAATGATACCATTTGGATTTAGGCTGTGCAGTGCAAATTTGCCAATTTAATGACATATTTAACCCGTAAACGGTCCAAGCAGATCTACGTTCACATGTGTAGTGCTACAAAAGTAGATCTAAGTTTTTTTTACATATTTTCAAATATAACAAAAAAAAAAGTAGATCAGTTTTTTTACACATTTTCAAATGTAGAAAAACAAAAAGAAGATCTACTTTTTTTACATACTTTCAAATGTTGAAAAAACGTACATATACGTTTGGACCGTTTTTTTTTTTTTTTTTTTTTTCAACAAGTCGGCCGTTTCCCACCGAGGCAGGGTGACCCAAAAAAAAAAGAAAGAAAATCCCCAAAAAGAAAATACTTTCATCATCATTCAACACTTTCACCACACTCGCACATTATCACTGTTTTTGCAGAGGTTTTCAGAATACAACAGTCCAGAAGCATACACATATAAAGACACACAACCGTTTACGGGTTAATAAACTTGGTATTGTTGGGTCCTATGGAGAATGCATCTCCTGATTGGCTTTTAATGCTTGGTGGTGGTGGTGGTGGTGTTTTTCTCAAAGGAAGCTTCACGCTGACTGTGGATTGTGCAAGTTTTAATTTGCCAATTTTATTAAATAGATTGGTTTCTGTGTAATTACTGATGAATGCCTCTTCTGATCTGCTACCTGACTTAGATAAAGGATTAGACTGATTTTTGCTGTGTAGGTGCCAAGTTGTTTATTTTACTGAAGAAACTGGAAAAAATTAAAATAATGGGGTTTAATGCAATAATTTGTGAATACTACGTCTAACTGGACTCAAGTTTCAAATATCAATAACCTAAGAATGTAACTTTGACCGGCCTTAAACTGAAAGTACTGCCATACTTTGGGATATTGGTATATCTGTGGTAACTAAAGAATGCATTTTCTGACTGACTTTAAGCTTTCAAAGCCAATGTATCTTACTTAGTGGAAGACTTGAATCAGTTTTGAGCTGTGTATATACTGATTTGTCATTTTTATCAAAGAAATTGGGATACTAGTTTCCACATGAAAACTTGTGAATGCCTTTTTTGATAGGTTTCCAATCTTCAATGCTGATATTTAACTGTATCAGAGACTTATGCTACATTCTGTACTATTCCTTATGTGTGCAATGAGGTAGAAGGGACTGAACTTATGGGATATGGGGTTACTTTTCTTGGATTGCACAGCGACTGAAACACATTTAGCTGATCAATTCATCATTATTTCCTCATTTCCCAATTTCATGGGTTGGAGAGCCACTCACCCAGATAATACAGAAAAGTACTGGGGGAAAAAGAGAAGTTAAAAATAGTGTGAAACCTGACTTTTTACAATGCTGGTAAACCTCATTTAACAATTTTAAGACAGTTTAAAACAGTAACATTTTTAATCTTTTGAATAGATAAGCAGCCATGTTAAAAGATTTTTCTAAATTGTTGGAGACAAGCAATCAATTTTTTTTATGCCCTGGATGAGTGGAGCAATGCACTGTCTCAAGTTTGATGCACATAATACAGAGTTACTTAAAATAAGGCTTGCTTGCATTATACTTTACCTTTAGAGCTTAGTAATAAGAGTATATTGAAATAAATGAAAACTAAAAAGTGTGTTGTGATTAAGAGTTCCTCAGTCTCACCTGGAATGACTTGGTTCCGAGGAGAAGCACTTGTGATCCAAAGCTGACCATTGAGTGGTAACAAGCCCTTTCACCAGATAATGCCTTAAAAGAAATATTTGATGAGAGTGAATTAATTCACATATTATCTACAGGTTTATATGCAAGAACCTAATCTTCATAATTAAAGAAAGGTGGACATTTAGCTACTGTACAATTCCTATTTTAATCCTTTCAAGGTCCAGAGGCCAAATTTCAAAGTGTGCACCAGGGTCCAAGAATTTAAAAAAAAAAAATTATTTTTTCTTATGAAATGGTAGAGAATCTTTTTCTGAAGGTAATAAAACAAAAAGTATGAAATTTGATGGAAAACTGACAAAACTGTGCTCTCGTGAATTTTGATGTGTCAGCGATATTTACATATCGGTGACTTTGCCGAATTTGACTCCCATTTTAGGCCAATTACATTGTACCAGTCAACCAAATTCTTAGCTATTTCACTAGTATTACTTCCATTCTATCGACTGAGCACAAGAAATCATCACGTCAACTGTTTCAAATACAAAATAAAGTCATCAGAAAATGGTAATTTGGCTAATTTAACGCAAAGTTCAAAATATTCCAATTTCAAAATTGGGTCCAGAATAAACAATGCAGGCATCCTGGCACTAAACTAACATCTCCTCTGTTCATTAGCTACATTTTGAGGCTTTACAAATGAATTCCACTTTGATTTTTTATTCACATAATGAACTTTTATTCAAACCAAAAAATAGATTTACTGTTATGCAATATTGTAATAATTGTATAACTAATATCACCACATTTATGAACAAATATTAGACCCACCAGCTGGTGTGTATTAGACGTGTGAGGTCATTTGTTTACTCTTTAACATTGGCAAATATTTAACATTTCCTCTACTTTGAACTCAGTTTCAAGCTATTTCCAATATTAAAACCAATCAAAATCATCTCTATTTCTGTAATATATCTTTCAATCTATCAAATGAGACCAAGAAGTCGCAAATACAACTATAAAAAACATACAAAAAAACACTGCAAAATCAGTTTTAATCGAAAATTACAGTCTCGTTTTTTTTTTCTCATTATGCACTGTGTGCTGCAGGATTTGTTATATGTGGTGCACACATACCACATAGATGTATTCTCTCATAAATAGGCCCAAATTTACTGCTCACAGCTTATCAGAGTGAGCTGAGCTCATGGTGTAGATCTACGATTTGGACCCTCAACTTAAAGCCGTATATCTACGGTATGGACCCTGAATGGGTTAAACTTTGATTTGCAAAATAAAACCTGTAACTTAGAGACCAAGAACTTTTGTCTTCATCAATAAATAGTATTTGTGACATACTACATGGGTTAGACCCGATTCTTAGTTCTTTAATTTTTCTAATATAAAAAAAAAAAAAAAAAAAAAAAGTTTAACTATTATACATGTCAAATTATTGTCAGAAGATCAGATATTCAGAGATATATAGATTATATTATATATATATATATATATATATATTTTATATATAATAAAATTTTATATATATATATATATAATATATATTATATATAATATATATATATATATAAATTTATTATAAAATATGCCAATAAGATCACGTAAACAGGTGATTTTTAGAATATGCAAAACAAACCACTCTGAAAGAATAGAGAAATTCCAAGCGCTTTCGTGACTACTCACATTATCAAGGAAAATATAGTTCCTTGATAATGTGAGTAGTCACGAAAGCGCTTGGAATTTCTCTATTCTTACAGAGTGGTTGTTTTGCATATATATATATATATATATATATTATATGCATTTAGGATTTGGAAAAGGCATATGATAGAGTGGATAGAGGAGCAATGTGGCAGATGTTGCAAGTGTATGGAATAGGTGGTAGGTTACTAAATGCTGTGAAGAGCTTTTATGAGGATAGTGAGGCTCAGGTTAGGGTGTGTAGAAGAGAGGGAGATACTCCCGGTAAAGTAGGTCTTAGACAGGGATGTGTAATGTCACCGTGGTTGTTTAATATATTTATAGATGGGGTTGTAAAAGAAGTAAATGCTAGGGTGTTCGGGAGAGGGGGGAGATTAAATTTATGGGGAATCAAATTCAAAATGGGAATTGACACAGTTACTTTTTGCTGATGATACTGTGCTTATGGGGGATTCTAAAGAAAATTACAAAAGGGTTTGTGGATGAGTTTGAGAATGTGTGTAAAGGTAGAAAGTTAAAGTCAACATAGAAAAGAGTAAGGTGATGAGGGTATCAAATTATTTAGATAAAGAAAAATTGGATATCAAATTGGGGAGGAGGAGTATGGAAGAAGTTTAATTTTTTCAGATACTTGGGAGTTGACTTTTCGGCGGATGGATTTATGAAGGATAAGGTTAATCATAGAATTGATGAGGGAAAAAGGTGAGTGGTGCGTTGAGGTATATGTGGAGTCAAAAAACGTTATTATGGAGGCAAGAAGGGAAAAGTATGAAAGTATAGTAGTACCAACACTCTTATAAAGGATGTGAAGCTTGGGTGGTAAATGCAGCAGCGAGGAGACGGTTGGAGGCAGTGGAGATTTTCCTGTCTAAGGGCAATGTGTGGTGTAAATATTATGCAGAAAATTCGGAGTGTGGAAATTAGGAGAAGGTGTGGGTTAATAAAAGCATTAGTCAGAGGGCAGAAAGAGGGGTTGTTGAGGTGGTTTGGTCATTTAGAGAGAATGGATCAAAGTAAATGACATGGAAAGCATATAAATCTATAGGGGGAAAGGGAAAAAGGGGTAGGGGTTTGTCCTCGGAAGGGTTGGAAAGAGGGGGTAAAGGAGGTTTTGTGGGTGAGGGGCTTGGACTTCCAGCAAGCGTGCATGAGCGTGTTAGATAGGAGTGAATGGAGACGAATGATACTTGGGACCTGACGATCTGTTGGAGTGTGAGCAGGGTAATATTTAGTGAAGGGATTCAGGGAAACCCGGTTATTTTCATATAGTCGGACTTGAGTCCTGGAAATGGGAGTACAATGCCTGCCCCTTTTTAAAGGAGGAGTTTTGGGATATTGGCAGTTTGGAGGGATATGTTGTGTATCTCTTTTACGTATATGCTTCTAAACTGTTGTATTCTGAGCACCTCTGCAAAAGCAGTGATAATGTGTGAGTGTGGTGAAAGTGTTGAATGATGATGAAAGTATTTCTTTTTGGGGATTTTCTTTCTTTTTTTTGGGTCACCCTGCCTCGGTGGGAGACGGCCGACTTGTTGAAAAAAAAAAAAAAAAAAAAAAAAAATATATATATATATATATATATATTTTATATATATATATTTATATTTTATATTATATATATATATATTATATATATATATTTTTATATATATTGTATATATATATATAATATATATTATTTTTTTTTTTTTTTTTTTTTTTCAACAAGTCGGCCGTCTCCCACCGAGGCACGGTGACCCAAAAAAAAGAAAGAAAATCCCCAAAAAGAAAATACTTTCATCATCATTCAACACTTTCACCACACTCACACATTATCACTGCTTTTGCAGAGGTGCTCAGAATACAACAGTTTAGAAGCATATACGTATAGAGATACACAACATATCCCTCCAAACTGCCAATATCCCAAAACCCTCCTTTAAAGTGCAGGCATTGTACTTCCCATTTCCAGGACTCAAGTCCGACTATATGAAAATAACCGGTTTCCCTGAATCCCTTCACTAAATATTACCCTGCTCACACTCCAACAGATCGTCAGGTCCCAAGTATCATTCGTCTCCATTCACTCCTATCTAACACGCTCATGCACGCTTGCTGGAAGTCCAAGCCCCTCACCCACAAAACCTCCTTTACCCCTCTTTCCAACCCTTCGAGGACGACCCTACCCCTCTTTCCTTCCCCTATAGATTTATATGCTTTCCATGTCATTCTACTTTGATCCATTCTCTCTAAATGACCAAACCACCTCAACAACCCCTCTTCTGCCCTCTGACTAATGCTTTTATTAACTCCACACCTTCTCCTAATTTCCACACTCCGAATTTTCTGCATAATATTTACACCACACATTGCACTTAGACAGGACATCTCCACTGCCTCCAACCGTCTCCTCGCTGCTGCATTTACCACCCAAGCTTCACATCCATATAAGAGTGTTGGTACTACTATACTTTCATACATTCCCTTCTTTGCCTCCATAGATAACGTTTTTTGACTCCACATATACCTCAACGCACCACTCACCTTTTTTCCCTCATCAATTCTATGATTAACCTCATCCTTCATAAATCCATCCGCCGACACGTCAACTCCCAAGTATCTGAAAACATTCACTTCTTCCATACTCCTCCTCCCCAATTTGATATTCAATTTGTCTTTATCTAAATCATTTGATACCCTCATCACCTTACTCTTTTCTATGTTGACTTTCAACTTTCTACCTTTACACACATTCTCAAACTCATCCACTAACCTTTGTAATTTTTCTTTAGAATCTCCCATAAGCACAGTATCATCAGCAAAAAGTAACTGTGTCAATTCCCATTTTGAATTTGATTCCCCATAATTTAATCTCACCCCTCTCCCGAACACCCTAGCATTTACTTCTTTTACAACCCCATCTATAAATATATTAAACAACCACGGTGACATTACACATCCCTGTCTAAGACCTACTTTTACCGGGAAGTAGTCTCCCTCTCTTCTACACACCCTAACCTGAGCCTCACTATCCTCATAAAAGCTCTTCACAGCATTTAGTAACCTACCACCTATTCCATACACTTGCAACATCTGCCACATTGCTCCTCTATCCACTCTATCATATGCCTTTTCCAAATCCATAAATGCAACAAAAACTTCCCTACCTTTATCTAAATACTGTTCACATATATGTTTCAATGTAAACACTTGATCTACACATCCCCTACCCACTCTGAAGCCTCCTTGCTCGTCCGCAATTCTACATTCTGTCTTACCTCTAATTCTTTCAATTATAACCCTACCGTATACTTTTCCTGGTATACTCAGTAAACTTATTCCTCTATAACTTTTACAATCTCTTTCGTCCCCTTTCCCTCTATATAAAGGGACTATACATGCTCTCCGCCAATCCCTAGGTACCTTCCCCTCTTTCATACATTTATTAAACAAAAGTACCAACCACTCCAACACTATATCCCCCCCTGCTTTTAACATTTCTGTCATGATCCCATCAGTTTTCCAGCTGCTTTACCCCCTTTCATTCTACGTAATGCCTCACGTACCTCCACCACACTCACATTCTGCTCTTCTTCACTCCTAAAAGATGGTACACCTCCCTGGCCAGTGCATGAAATCACCGCCTCCCTTTCTTCCTCAACATTTAAAAGTTCCTCAAAATATTCTCGCCATCTACCCAATACCTCCCTCTCCCCATCTACTAACTCCCCTACTCTGTTTTTAACTGACAAATCCATACCTTCCCTAGGCTTTCTTAACTTGTTTAACTCACTCCAAAATTTTTTCTTATTTTCATCAAAATTTCTTGACAGTGCCTCTCCCACTCTTTCATCTGCTCTCCTTTTGCACTCTCTCACCACTCTCTTCACCTTTCTTTTACTCTCCATATACTCTGCTCTTCTTATAACACTTCTGCTTTGTAAAAACCTCTCGTAAGCTACCTTTTTCTCTTTTATCACACCCTTTACTTCATCATTCCACCAATCACTCCTCTTTCCTCCTGCCCCCACCCTCCTATAACCACAAACTTCTGCCCCACATTCTAATTACTGCATTTTTAAAACTATTCCAACCCTCTTCAACCCCCCCACTATTCATCTTTGCACTAGCCCACCTTTCTGCCAATAGTCGCTTATATCTCGCCCGAACTTCCTCCTCCCTTAGTTTATACACTTTCACCTCCCTCTTACTTGTGTTGCCACCTTCCTCTTTTCCCATCTACCTCTTACTCTAACTGTAGCTACAACTAAATAATGATCCGATATATCAGTTGCCCCTCTATAAACATGTACATCCTGGAGCCTACCCATCAACCTTTTATCCACCAATACATAATCTAACAAACTACTTTCATTACGTGCTACATCATACCTTGTATATTTATTTATCCTCTTTTCATAAAATATGTATTACTTATTACCAAATTTCTTTCTACACATAGCTCAATTAAAGGCTCCTATTTACATTTACCCCTGGCACCCCAAAATTACCTACTACTCCCTCCATAACATTTTTACCCACTTTAGCATTGAAATCCCCAACACCATTACTCTCACACTTGATTCAAAACTCCCCACGCATTCACTCAACATTTCCCAGAATCTCTCTCTCTCCTCTACACTTCTCTCTTCTCCAGGTGCATACACGCTTACTATAACCCACTTTTCACATCCAATCTTTATTTTACTCCACATAATCCTTGAATTTATACATTTGTAGTCCCTCTTTTCCTGCCATAGCTTATCCTTCAACATTATTGCTACTCCTTCTTTAGCTCTAACTCTATTTGAAACCCCTGACCTAATCCCATTTATACCTCTCCATTGAAACTCTCCCACCCCCTTCAGCTTTGTTTCACTTAAAGCCAGGACATCCAGTTTCTTCTCATTCATAACATCCACAATCATCTCTTTCTTATCATTTGCACAACATCCACGCACATTCAGACTTCCCACTTTGACAATTTTCTTCTTCTTATTCTTTTTAGTAATCTTTACAGGAAAAGGGGTTACTAGCCCATTGTTCCCGGCATTTTAGTTGACTTTTACAACACGCATGGCTTACGGAGGAAAGATTCTTATTCCACTTCCCCATGGATATAAAAGGAAAAGTAATAAGACCAAGAACTATTAAGATAAAATCAAAGAAAACTCAGATGAGTGTGTATAAATAAACGTGTACATGTATGTGTAGTGTGACCTAAGTGTAAGTAGAAGTAGCAAGACATGCCTGTAATCTTGCATATTTATGAGACAGACAAAAGATACCATATATATATATATAATATACTGTGTCACTGGCAGAGTATATACTTGTATTTTTTTTTAGATGCTGGGTGATTTATGGTAAGTCATTGATGTAAAGGAGGAAAAGAAGTCTCGGGATGTTTAAACTGGCATCTAATTTCACTGGAAAAGCAGTTTTATGGAGTTCCATGTAGGTTTGAAAAACTGCTGAATTTTACGGTATTTTTACATAGATTAGCTCAAAATGCAGTTAAGGTAGGACAGAATAATTATAAGATGTAGAAATAGGACATACATGTACATATAAATATGACGGAACTTGAGTAGCATTAGTTCCTACAGAAAACCAAATTCAGATTATATATTCAATAAGGTATTACACAGGTACTGAATGAACAATCAATATTTACTTACGAAAATAATAAAGTCTTACCATAGCTTTGCTGACATTGCCTCCTGTGGCAATAGCTTTGAAATGTGGTGAAGCATACACCAATCCTAGGTGAGCCAAATCTACCATCTCTTGCTCTTCCTGTGTCTTAACATCAATAACATGCAGGTGCTCTCTAGTGTCCATTACCGCTAGAGTGCGGGAGTTAAGCCATGCCATTCCCTGAATTACAAATGTCAAACCCATTTTCTGCAAAGGGATAAACTGAAGCTCCTCTTGACTACCATGAGTAAGCTGAAAGTATCATATATGGTATAAGAATTTGGTAGTTACCAACAAATTTTTATGTGAACACAAAAAACTTGATGATAAATAAAATTTCACTGTTAACAATGTATCTCCAACTACATAAATGGAGGTTATGAAAACATATTCTACAATACGGAAACACTAACTTCACTTGAAGACAAGTTTTGTGAAATGCACTTATCACTAACCAGAAAATGCCTGTACAACCATTTATGAATAAAAATATGTCATATATCTTCTCAGGAAAGCCTGCTCATTCTCCTCAGTTACTCACACTTATTTTATTCCATAACCCTGTACACTATAAGATTATGTTTTAAATCCTTAATGTGATCCATAATGCATACAGTGTTTAAAAAAACTAGCTGGCCCAGTGGCTAATGCGTCGGTCTGGAGTTTTGAGACTCTGATCACGGGTTCTAACCCCACCCGTGGTATGGTTTGTTTGCAATCATGTCATTACGATTTCATGAGTCACATAGTGTTCATTTTGGACTCTGTTTTTAAATTGAAATTTCTTGAATTCTTGAATTCAAGTTACTGATTGGTGTGGCATGCAAAGAGTACGTAACCTTTATTCGGCGCATGTACACACCCTCATTTACAGGCTATCTCCCCCAACCAGCGAACCAGGTTGCTAAGAGTTGATGATGGGGCCCCATTGTTCAACTAGTGACCAGGTTCTAGCCAATAAGAAGATGGTTTTGGCAATCGCAGAGGTTATGTGGGTACCACTCTCCTGTCTGCCCTTGTCATTCCCATTCTAGAGCTGGTTGAAGCGCGGTCTGCTATCTTGTGGCTTCTATTTCTGCCTTGCTTACCATGGAGTGCACTATACTTATCACTGTACATAGTGTACATATTGCTGTTCAAAATTGGTGAAGGAAAATTTTAAGTCTAAATTTTTTCTGCTGTGTTTTTTTTTGCTCCCATTACCCGGGATAACGGGGCCATTTGGATTCCTGGGTTGTAATATGGGTAGCCTGTCCGAGAGCTGGAGCTGGACTTAGAGAAACGGTGAGCTTAGGGTGAAGCTCGTAGCAGGAACATTGTGCAGCTTGCTGTCTGGCATTGCATTAGCTTTGCCTACGCTTTACAAATTTTTGCGTGTCAGTTACTGTTATGGTCAGCCTTGCTATTGTGTGATCATTCAACAGCTCGCTACAGTTGTTCGGTGTGCTCGCTTCGTTTACGGTAAATTTTCTAGAACAGTGTAGCTGTCTGGCATTGCTTTACAAATTTTGCGTGTCAGTTGTTACTAGCCTGTTCGGTGTGGAGAATTTTGCAGTTGGCTTTGCTTGTATGCATATTCTGCAATTGTACTGTGCATAGCTAAGCATGTTCTGCAAATTAACATGTTACTTTGGGGGTATCTGCAATCATACTGTGCATAGCGAATAACTTATGCCACCTAGATGAGTCAGACGTCTGGTGTTGGCATATACTTTGCATAACCTACCCAAATTGTCCCTACAGCGTTGTTGGCAAATTGCTCGTTCCATTGGCAATAAATACAAACTCACTCTCACAGCTGCGCAACTGCGTTCCCCTGATTGCTGACAAACTTATAGAAAGAAGAGATGGCACATCAGACTCCTCCCTCTACGGGAGCTAGGGCAAAAAACTACTATGTTCTCGCGGGGAGGAAGATGATACACCTACGGAGAAAAATGGTCAGTATAGTGCAGCTGGGTTGTCTCAAGGTGAATCAGCGTCGTTGGCTTGAGCTGGCAAAAATCAATCTTGAGCAAACTAGGGAACAGAGAGCATTCGCAAGGGAAGAATTTGATAGGGAAAGAGAAAGGAGGCAGTTTTCGCATTCTGTAAATAATTTTAGTTTACAGAAAGCGTACATTTTGGGTTCCCCGTTAAATGAACCCAAACCCAGAACAATTTTTCGAAAGCTTCGAAAATCAGGCTCGAGCCTTGAGGTGGCCGGAACAGCATTGGACATCTTTTGGTTCATACAGCATTATTGGGTAAGGCACAGGAATTTACGTCAGCATTAAATACGCTGAATTTTCCGATTATAAAAGTAGTGAGACCACAGTGTTGGGAGCATATAATGATCCCAGCCAAATACAAAAACTTTTCAAACTGGGTAGACGACAGCTTGGTCAATCCCTCGTGGACTTTGTGAGACAGCAAACCAAAGCTTTTACCAGCTGGTATAAAGTAAGTGGTGTCTCTACCTTTGAGGAGCTGGTACAGCTTATCCTGATTGAAAACCCTGTGGAGTCTGTGGGCCCAGAGGTTCGAGTCTTCTGCAGGATCGTGACTTAACCACTGCATTGGAGGCAGCCAGGTTGGCTGATACCTTCGAAACTAACCGCTCTTTGTCCGAGCGGTCCCGTCTCTCTTTTCAACAGCCTGGCATGAGCAGAGATTGTCAACCTTGGAGAATGAAGTGCCAGCCGGAGAGAGAACGTCTACGTCAGCCAACTAAGTCACCTGGTGAGCCACGCTTCTCAACATATGGTCCACCTGTGGAGAGGCAAATTTACTCATGGTGCATTTTAGACAACAGTATCCAGAGACCCCAGCCAGACGACACCATTTGCAACGTCAGCAGGGAGTAAAGGGCAAGCCTCTCGTCTGCTTCCTCTGCAACAAAGTAGGTCACATCCGTCCCAACTGCCCCCACAAACCCCAGCCCATTGGGAAAATCTCTAATATCCCTAGTAACATGTCCCCTAGAGAAGTAGAAAAAGGTATGGCCCCTTATTATTGCAAGAGTATTATTTCCCTTCGGGAAAAACCCTCAGAAAAAACTGAAGTAAAGACCTTTAGAGTTTACTGGAGCATATTGCTCACTTGTAAGAGAAGGAATATTACCCCTTTCAGAGAACACTTCCTTGAATTCCTCTGTTTTATTGGAAGCATTTGGAGGAGCTATATATTCTGTCCCTTTGCATAAAATTTATGTACAGTGCAAATATTACACTGGGTACTTGACTGTAGGTGTCTCAAAAGGATTCCCATGAAAGATGCCATGTTATTACTGGGTAATAACATTAATACTGTCAGTGCGTGTCCTGAACCTATAATGAGTAATTCTTCTCCGGTGTTGGCCATAACTCGGGCAACATCCCAAGGGTTGTCTGGAGAGAATGTTGACCTATCCTTGGACGACTCCGATCTCGAATAGCCACATTTTCTTTGAGGACACCGGCCGGAGCCTCGTAATCAAGTGAACAGACCCCGATCAAGCCTTCCTATTCCCGGTTTTTGCAGGATTGCCAGATGTCTTTTTTTCCATGCCCGGGGGACTGTCCTTCGGGGAGGAAACAACAAAAGGACCCTTCTTTAAAATTCGCTTTTGAGGCAGCCATGGGTAAATCCTCTTTGGGTCATCCGGTCAGGTATGAAGTTAAAAAACGATTATTTGATCTGCACTGAGACTGATAAGGAGATAGGGGCCGGCAATTGTATGACAGGTTAGGGGTTTTCCAACCAAGTTTAGACCTCAAATTTAAATATAGCTCATAATACTTCATTAGGAGGTCATTTAGGAATTACAAAAACCTTGTATAAAATCCCCAAAAGAATTTTATTGGCCAAAATTAAAGAAAGATGTGAAGAATCATATTAGGTGTTGCCAGAATGTCAGCAAGTAGGGAAACCTGGACATTCCTTTAAAACCTGCACCTCTCCAACCTATACCTGCTGATGGAGAACCTTTTGTAGATTTAATTATAGATTGTGTAGGTCACTACCTAGGTCAAAGTCTGGAAATCAATATTTATTTACGATTATGATAAAGTAACCAGATATCCCGAAGCAATTCCCATGCGTAGTATTAATACTAAAGTTATTCTCAAAACTTTAAAAAAAATTCATTTCTTGTTTTGGCATTCCTAAAATATTCAAAGTGATCAAGGTACTAACTTTACTGCAAAGCATTTAGGGAAGTATTAACTAGGTTAGGGATAATCCACAACTTATCCAAATGCCTATCATCCTCAGTCCCAAGGCGCCCTTTGGGAAAAATTCCATCAGACGTTAAAAACTATGTGAGAACTTTTTTCATGCACTTTCCTACAGACTGGGATGAATCCCCAAACCCTTTTTTGCTGTTCTCAGTACGAGAGACGGTTTCAAGGTCTAAGGGTTATAGTCCGTTTGAGCTGATCTTTGGGCACAATGTACGAGGTCCTCTTCGGGTGCTCAAAGAAGGATGGATGGGAGGAACGTTAGCTCAACACTCTAAACCGTCTTCAAGGTTGCAGGTGGCACGTCAGTTAGCCAAGGCTAACCTAAAGACAGCTCAAAATAAGATTTAAACAGAGGTATGACAGAAGTGCCAATTCCGCTCCCTTTCCCTCCAGGAGACAAGGTGTTGGTGCAGGAACCTATACCTGGCCACACCTTGAAAGCTAGATTTACAGGACCTATGCAGATTATAAAATAGATTATTGATGTAAACTATGTGGTAGCTCCCATTGAAAGACCTCAAAAACTAAAATTTACCACATCAATCAATTGAAATCTTTTATACACCCGATAAAGTCCCAGTTATGACTCTGTCCTCTACCTCTGAGAACGACTCTGATTCTTTGCACTCTATCTCTGAAATTAATATTAAACTTTCAAATTCTGTCCTCCTCAAGGATCCTAGCCCCTTTAATGGAGGGACTATCTGAAACGCAAGCAACAAATTTAACTGAGCTTCTATAGTCATATCCTAAAATTTTTTCGGATGTGCCGAAAAAAAGTACGTTAGGTTATCATGATGTAGATGGGGAAACTCTAAAACCCAAATTTAAAATCTCCCCTCAGAGCTAAACCTGAAAAGCAAAGGTTACTTCAGCAGGAAGTAGAATTTTTGTTAAAGCATGGTTTAGTGGAGGAGTCATCTAGTCCCTTTTGGGTTCACCCTGCATCCTTGTGAAGAAGGCTTTATGGAGGGTTTCGTATGTGTACAGACTACCGTAAGGTGAATGAGGTCACATTACGATGCTTACCCTCTTCCTCGTCTGGATGACGTAATTGGGCTTTGTGGGTAAGGCTATTTTTTTGTCCAAGTTTGATCTCCTAAAAGGTTACTATCAGGTACCTTTGACGAATAAGGCGAAGGAATCTCTGCCTTCATAATTCCAGGAGGTCATTATCAATACACAGTTACCCCCTTCGGAATGAAAAATTCCCCTCTTCATTCCAGAAACTTATCCCTCAGGCTATTAAAGGACTTGAAGGCACGGCAGGTACCTAGATGATATTGTTGTGGTGTCTGATACTTGGGTTTAACACCTACTTAGACTTTAAAGGGTCTTTTTGAGACCTTTAAGAGTTCCCATTTAACAGTTAATTTATCTAAATTTCCTTTGGCCAGGGGCCCCTATCATTTTTTGGCCATGAAGTAGGTAGTGGTTAAAGTTGCACCTAAACTTGCTAAAGTTTGTATTAAAGATTATCCCGTTCCTCATGATAGGAAATCTCTTCAACGTTTCCTAGGCATGATAGGTTTTAATGTTCCCTTTTAACTGGACCTCAGGGCTGTAACGCTGCTTTAATAAAGCAAAAGAATATTGTGTACTGCACCCATTCTTTTGTCTCCAGACTTCTCCAAAACTTTTTCATTACAGGTTGATGCTTGTGAGTCTGGGGTGGGGCAGTACTATTACAAATCGAGAATGAGGAGTTGCAGCCCGTAGCATACTTTTTTAGCCAAGTTCCAGCCACATCAGAGGGCTTACTCTACCATTGAAAAAGAAGCCCTCGGCTGGTAGGCTTTGGAGCATTTCGATGTTTATGTGGGCCAGACATCGCAGGTGGTCACAGTCTACAGTGATCACAATCCTCTAGTATATCTCCAAACCATGAAAAACCACAAAAACAAGGCTCATGCGCTGGACGCTAAGACTGCAAACCATACTCACTCAGAATTAAAAATATTTTCCCGGCAAAGAAAATGTGTTGGTGAGACTCATTATCTAGAGTCTAATATTTTTATTTATTTAGGTTAGGATGTTATATTATTTGTGGTAACCCCTTTTCACGCTCTTTTTTTTTATCCCCTGGTGTGGGGTTTTTTTTTAGTGAGGGGATGCGGGCTACGTCCGCCTGTATCTTGGACCTATGCTAGCCTGACTGACTGCTGTTTTCAATCTTTAAATTTAGGGTTTGGCTTTTTAGTCACGAGAAAAGCTGAGCTCTATCGAAGAGTTGGATGGTGGAGAGGAAAGGCGTCCCATTATTTTGTGCTATGGCGGCACGGTTTTCCCCTGGGAGGTGGCAGCCTAATCCTGAGCCTTCTCGGGGTGGGGTGTGGGATGCAAAGAGTACGTAACCTTTATTCGGCGCATGTACACACCTCATTTACAGGCTATCTCCCCCCAAACCCGCGAACCAGGTTTGCTTTGTTGATGATGGGGCCCCGTCGTTCAACTAGTGACCAGGTTCTAGCCAATAAGAAGATGGTTTTGGCAATCGCAGAGGTTATGTGGGTACCACTCTCCTGTCTGCCCTTGTCATTCCCATTCTAGAGCTGGTTGAAGCACGGTCTGCTATCTTGTGGCTTCTATTTCTGCCTTGCTTACCGTGGAGTGCACTATACTTATCACTGTACATAGTGTACATATTGCTGTTCTAAATTGGTGAAGGATAATATAAGTCTAAACTTTTTCTGCTGTGTTTATTTTGATCCCATTACACCTGGGATAACAGGCCATTTGGATTCCTGGGTTGTAATAACTGGTGTGCACTGATAGCTGAATGGGTGGTTTCTTGTGCTCATTTGAAAGAATGAAAGGCAAATTAGTGAAACAGCTAAGAATCTGGTCATATTGAGCAATGGAAATGGCTGAAAATAGGAGGATTATGATAAGATGCTTACTCAACTGATAAAACATTTAATATGTCTCCACTACAATAATAAATAAAAACATTGTAGTACAGACTCACCTGATAGAAATACACAGTTTTCTCACGCCCAAATGCTAACACAGGATCAATAACTCTTGTTCCATCTGGCATCTGTATCACAACAAACTGCCAGGACAGAAGAGGAAGGGTTGAAACTGAAGCCTTCAATGGATGTGAGAACAGAACCTTGAGTTGGGGTCGTAGAGAAACCACAATAACCTGTAAAGTAAAACATTTATGGTAGGGGTAGCGGTCCTCCTTTGAAAGGTTGGAGGGAGTGCGAGTGTGAGCATGTTAGATAGGAGTGAATGGAGACAAATGGTTTCTGGGAACTGATGAGCTGTTGGAGTGTGAGAAGGGTAATATTTTGTGAAGGGATTCAAGGAAACTGGTTAGCCAGACTTGAGTCCAGGAGGTGGGAAGTACAATGTCTGTACTTTAAAGGAGGGGTTTGGAATACAGTGGACCCTCGACCAGCGATATTAATCCGTTCCTGAGAGCTCATCGTTAATCGAAATTATCGTTAGTCGAGTTAATTTTCCCCATAAGAAATAATGGAAATCAAATTAATCTGTGCAAGACACCCAAAAGTATTGAAAAAAAAAAAAAATTTTACCACATGAAATATTAATTTTAATACACACAAGCTCAAGAAGACATGCACAGTTACATGACACTTACCTTTATTGAAAATCTGGTGATGATTGATGGGATGGGAGGAGGGGAGAGTGTTGATGGTGTTAGTGTTTAGAAGGGGAATCCCCTTCCATTAGGAATTCAGGTGGCAAGTCCTTTTTCGGGTTACTTCCCTTCTTCTTTTAATGCCACTAGGACCCGCTTGAGTCACTGGACCCTGTCGCACAACATATCTGTCCATAGAGGCCTGTACCTCCCGTTCCTTTATGACATTCCTAAAGTGTTTCACAACACTGTCAGTGTCACAATTAAACACTTGTTTTAGGTTTCAATTCTTCACTGTCTATGTACTCCTTGAAATTCCTGCCCATATTTTTCAGCTGCTTTTTTGGTCCAAACTGGCAGCCTCACCATGCCTTATCACACTATGAATGCCACTCGATTTTTAAATCTCTCAAAAACCCAACCCTTTTCTGGCCTTAAATTCACTCACATCACCACTAGTTGCTGGGCATTTTTCTAATTAAAAACCTAAAGCAATTCCTAGCCTTTTCACATGTGATCGCTTGAGAGTGCTATCTCCTGCTATCTGTTTTTCGTTTTTCCACACCAATAACAGTCTCTCAACATCTTCTATCACTTGCGATCCCAGTTTTGAAAACATAGTTGCACCCTTTGGCAAAGAAACAGTTTCCTTGATTGCCGTTTTCTTGGCCAAATTTGTAGCGATGGTTGACTGGGGTTTTTGTGTACAACCTGGCCAGCTCGGAGACACGCACTCCACTTTCATACTTAGCAATGATCTCTTTCTTCATATCCATAGTAATTCTCACCCTTTTTGCTGTAGGGTTGGCACTAGAAGCTTTCTTGGGGCCCTTGGTGACTTGTTTTGCAGGTGCAATCACTAAAAAGGCTGTGATAATATGAAATGTTACGATTGTATGCTTGGAAGCTACCGCGGTGGCTGGCTGGCTTGTAAACACTGGCCAGAAGTGGACGCGTCTCAGACGAAACAAATAGTGTTGGTCGAGTTTTTTAGCGCTAGTCGAGGCAAAATTTTTGCATTAAAATGTATCGCTGGTCAGATTTATCGTTAATCGATGCCATCGTTGGTTGAGGGTCCACTTTATTGGCTTTTTGGAGGGACACTTAAACTATCATATCTGAACGCCTCTGCACAGACAGTGATTATGTATGACTGATGGTGAAAGTGTTGAACGGCAAAAGATATAAAACATCCAGGCCATGGGAAAACCTGGGTAGCCACAGCCACTCAAGAGGGAGAGGTTTTTTAGTGCCAGGAAGGAAAAAAAACTGGCAGGAAATGGCAGAAATCGTACACCAAATCCAGTCATTCCTGGAGTGGAACCACAGTCGATGGCCTCCACTCCAAACCAACAGATACAGATGCTAATGCCGGAAAAAAAATCCCCCACCAGTACCAACAATACCACCAGTCCGATGACATTCTTCTTTGCAAATATACAGGGTCTAAAGCCAGCAACAAACAACAAAATACCCTTCATCCGTTGGACTGCTTGCAGAGGCAAAGGCAATGTTTGCGGCTTTCACTGAGACCCACATAAAGGATCACTTGGACAACGAAATATGGATCCCAGGTTACACCTATACAGATGTGACAGAGTGAACAGGCAAAAGGAAGGGGTTGGCCTGTACATTGCAGAGTCACTTGTTTGCACAGAACTGCTTAATGCCTCAAATGATGTAGTGGAAGTTTTAGCAGTAAAGGTCGGGAACCAAAACCTAGTCATTGTGGTAGTCTACAACATCCCAGCAATTCCAGGAACAGCTGTTAAAAATTGACCACTGTCTGGAAAATCTTCCAGCTCCTGCACCCAACATCTTGCTCCTGGGGGATTTCAACTTAAGGCACCTAAAATGGAGGAATATAGCAAATAATATTGTTGCAGTAATAACACCAGGAGGCAGCTCTGATGAAAACTCACACTCACACGAGCTTTTAAATCTCTGCACAAAATTCAATTTAAACCAGCAATAATAGAGCCTACTAGACTGGAGAATACACTAGACCTCATCTTCACTAACAATGATGATCTGATAAGAAATGTCACCATATCAAAAACAATATACTCAGATCACAACATAATTGAGGTTCAGACATGTATGCGTGGAGCCCCAGACCGACATAATGAGACTAGTCACGAGGGAGCATTCACTAAATTCAACTTCAATAACAAAAACATAAAGTGGGACCAAGTAAACCAAGTCCTAACCGATATAAGCTGGGAAGATATACTAAGCAACACAGACCCAACTTATGCTAGAACAGATTAACTTGGTGGCACAAGGCTTATTCCTCTAAGAAAAAGGAGGAGTAGATGTAAAATAGAAAGAGACAGGCGCTCCCTTTACAGGCGACGGAAAAAGAATAACAGAGCGGCAAAAAGAGGTAAATATATCTGAAATGCGAAAGGAGACACGGGTCAGAGAAATAGCAAGCATCAACTTAAGATAAAGGAAATCTTATAGGAGCAGGATCGCGGAAGAACTAAAAGCCATAAATGAAATCGAAAAAAACCCAAAAAGTACAGGGGCCCCCCCGCATCCGTTGGCATCACATAACGTTTAATCCGCTCCCGCTGTTTAAACGCAAAAATTTTCCCTGCATACCGCTTAAAAACCCCGCTCACCCTGTTCGTCCGAGACCGTCCAATTGGCCCCCCTCAGCCCCCCACATGGCTCCCCTTTTCCCTTTTTTACCCCCACCTCCGCGGTAATATCCAAGCAAAAAATGGGAACTTTTCGTATTTTTTACATTTTTTTTTGGTGTTTTCCGGGGAAAAATGCCCGGGGGCCCAAGAAAGTTTCTAGTCCCACCCTCGCAATAAGGGTGGAATTCCAATAGAGATGAAGAAAGAGATCATATAAGTAAAAAGTGGAGTGCGTATCGCCGACCTGGCCATTTTTGTACAAAAAACCCCCCAATCAACCATTGCTACTATTGTGGGCACCAAAAGGAAATTAAAGAAGTTTTTCTTCCCAAAAGGTTTAACTGTGTTTCGAAACAAAGATCGCAAGTGATGGAAGATGTTGAGGACCTTATTGGTGTGGATAAATGAAAAACAGTACAGGAGATACCCATTTTCAACGATTTAAGCGAAAGGTAGGAAGTTGCTGGGGATTTAATTTAAAAAAAATGCCTGAAAACAGTGCTGATGTGAGTGTTTTAAGGCCAGAAAAAAGGTTGGTTTTGAAGATTTAAGAAGCGAGGGGCATACATAGTGTGAAAAGGGCAGGGTGGGGCGCCAGTTCGGACCAAAAAGCGGCTGAAAAAATGTGCAAAATTAAAGGGAGTACATAGAGGTGAAGGACTGAACCTACAATTTTTAAATTGTGATGAAACAGGCCTTTTGGAAGAAAAGCCAAACAGGCCTACATTACTCAGGGGGAAAAGGCACTCCAGGACATAAGCCTATGAAAGAAGGTTTAATTTGTTGATGTGTTCCAATGCTAGGGTGATTGCAAAGTTAACCCTTTATTAGGTTCCTCTGAAACCCCCAAACATTCAGGCAAAAGAATGCCCTAAAGGAGAATTTGTGTGCTCGTGGAGGGCAAACAGTAAGGCATGGGTCACTGGGGATTTTTTCTATGGTGGTTACCCATGCATTTGCCCCCAATGTGAAAGATTCCTAACAAAAAGAAATTAAAACTTAAGTGCCCCCCGGGTGTTAGACAATGCCCCGGTCACCACAGACGTGGCAGAGCGACTTTAGGGGACATAAAATTCTTAAGGGTGAAGTTTTTGCCTCCTAATACCACCCCCCTCCTGCACCCGGGCCCAAGGGGTTTTTGCAAATTTAAAAAAAATGACACAAAAGCTCGTTTGAAAGGTGCTTTGTATGACCTCGAAATCAACTGACTCTAAGAGATTTGGAGGGAGCCTTTTAATATCCTAATTTGTGAAAACCTTATAGGTAAGGCTTGGGAGGGGTGACAAGAAGACCTTGAATTGCTTGGAAGAAACTGTGGCCAGAATGTGTAGACAAAAGGGATTTTGAAGGGTTTGAGGCTAACCCCGAGAGGAAATTTTTTTTTTCAGTTGAAAGGGAAACCCTTGTGATTGGAAAATCCTTGGGGGTTGGAGGGTTTGTGGGGGGATGTGGAAAAGTTGGGTTGGGGGGGGACAATGAAAACTAACCCGAGGCTGATAGATCAACTTCAAAAGCAAGAGGCCAGACCTGAGGAAAAATGGGTTTAGAGGGGGGGGGAGAGAGAAATTTTAAGAAGTTGCCTACTACAAAAAATTTAAAGGAAAAACTGTGAAATGGTTGAAATGCAAACCTTTATGGATGAAAACACCCTCACACAGCTATTGCAAGCCGTGTGGTGATTATTTCCGACAATGTTGTGAAAAACTTTAGGGAAGTCATAAAGGAACGAGGGACAGGCCCTAGGACAATTTTGTTGGCGACAGAACCCCAGTGACTCTAAGCTGGTCCAGTGGCATTAAAGAAGAAGGGAAATAACCCCAGAAAAGGATCGACACCCAAGTCTTAATGGAAGGGGGTTCCCCCTTTTAAAACTAACCTTTCTCTTCCTCC